GAAATTACCAGAATCTGCCTGTACACTTCAAAAGGTAACTCACATCAGCTCCAAGTTCGACCAGTGTTTCGATAAGGACAGCGGTCTGGATGGTCATGTGAAGACATCCTGCGATACGAGCGCCCTTTAGCGGCTTTGATGGTCCATACTTTTTGCGCATAGCCATCAATCCGGGCATCTCATTCTCAGCAATGATGATCTCCTAAAACTTGACTGTCAATATTATAGTTAAAGCAAAATATATATTTTTCACATTTCTAACAGATTCGGATATGCGAGAACAAAAAAGTGAAACTGAGTTCTCCAAAATAAAATTGGCATCCCTACTCAAAGCACTACAAGAGTTGTCCAATTGACAATTGAAACAAGACTCCTAAAAATTACCTTACGACCAAATTCGGCAAGGCCGATATCAGCGACTTTGTAGGCGGGCTTAGAAGCAGCCATTTGTCGTTATTACCTGCAAAAATGAGATTTAGAAAGTGCAAAACGTCTCCATATAATAGTTGCGACGAAAGCACGAATAACTTCCAATTTATCTACTGAAGTCTTAAGACAAGTTAGCTAAAACTGCATGACAATAAAATTTGAATGAATTTAGGGCTGCCCTACTCTCCATTTGAAACCAAGTAAATGCATGCATTACTGATAAAATGTTTGAAATGAAATTCTTCTGGAAAAGTCTAAAATTTTGAATTTGGTGCGGGCGCGCAAGAATCGCACAGTTCAAACAAAGTGTACCGCTGCAACGATGCTTTGTTTCTCGGAAGAACGGAGATAAAAATTATCTATTTCCTCAAACTCTCTTCTAATCTTAGGCAGTCTGCTAGTTTAAAACATTCTGTCATCACGAAAAATAGGAGTGAAGTGATAGTAAAATCCCGCCTTCGCTTTTGATAGGCTTTCATGCGTTTCAAAATGTTGATTTTTCCAAGTAAATTCCACATTGACAAAGCATTCATACATTCCATTGATTCCCACGTAACTTTCCAACATAAATCCCCCATTCGATTTCAGCCCGTATTCCTACGGCGGTTTGAATGCCTGTCTCCCCCATTATATACGGGGTAGCTCCGCCCACCATGGTTCCACCCTCATCGCCCCGCCTCCCTTTCCTCCCCACCGTCTCTCCTATAAAAATTTCGTCAAGCAAAATCACGCCATGTCTTGCGTCAAACCTGGTCAAAATGGATGCTGATAAAGATCGTAAATGGTCTCCGCACGAGAGATACGAGATGGAATGATGACGGTAAATATTCTTGGTTCAAAATACATGACAATGACGTAGCGGATAGCATGTGAGGATGATAGGTATGATATTAATCGATTGAATTGCGAAAGAGGAATGATTCTGTTCAAATGGACGTTTGCCATCTCACGATCTTTGTTTGGAACGGAAGAAAACATCGCTCAAGTGT